CTGCATTTCTGTCTGTGTTAAAGGAATAAGGGAATCCAGCCCGGTGAGAGGAGGCAGCCGCTTACCTGCTGAGCAGTGGCCGTGGGAGACTCACAGCACCCTGCCTTCCCCACTGACGCCCAGAGCTGCTGGGGCGGCCGGGCCAGCCCAGCCCAGTGCCACCTGCCTGGATCTTCTAGGATAAACTCAGGGTCAGGCACAATAGCCCTGTGTTTCCCTGAAGATAGAGGAGACCCTTACAACACACTATCTTCAAGGTGTAAAAGAAAACCTGAGAAACTTAGGCCCACAGGAAAAAGAAATTCCTACCCACCACTGACCTAAAATAATATACTAGATTTTCTTCCAAAAAAGTTCTTAGCATTGGGAACAAGACACTTATTTATTCACACATGCATTGATGTCCTGTTCATTCATTTTTATTCATTTGTACAAATGTCAAGTTAGAAAATGTCACATTTGCTTACAGAGGAGAGGAAATTTGACAAAGGACCCTGGTGCAGCGGGAATGGGGGTGGGCCTGGGGTGGGAAAGGGCGGGAGCTGCTTCCCTTCCTGGTTAACAGAGGATCTCACGGGGCTCCGAGCATATCTTCTCTTATCTTCGACCTTGACTTTCTGTGTCACCGGAGAAAGTGATATTGCCTTCCTGATCTCACAGAGCCAAGGTATATTAAAAAATGCCATGTGAGATTTAAATTCAGTTGGTACACTGCAAGATTCAGTTTAGTGTTGGTTCAGACTAGGTTTACGTTCATTTCCTAAATGAAAACATTAATTAAGCTGAAGGTTAAAATGACTCAGTGGCCACTGCAGCTCCCTTGATCTCTGTTGTCTTGTTAACAATAATGTCACATTCAATGGGCAACAGCATCTCTATTTGGGACAGTTGTGCTGGAGGCAATTAACAAATCTGTGCTTGGGAATTATGCAAGAAAGGTATAAATGTAAAATGACTGTTGCTTTGAAGTCACTGATAGTAAATAATCTGATCCTTCACTAGAAGCCACTAAAATCTATAAGAAAGTGGCAATGAGCCCTGGCTAGTGTGGCTCAGTGGATTGAGTGCTGACCTGTGAACCAAATGGTCGTTGGTTTGATTCCCAGTCAGGGCACATGCCTGGGTTGTGGGCCAGGTCCCCAGTAGGGGGTGCATGAGAGGCAACCACACATTGGGTTTCTGTCTGGGTCTTTCTCCATCCCTTCCCCACTGTCTACAAATAAATAAATAAAATCTTGAAAAAAATAAAATAAAGATAGAAAGTCTTAGAGAAAGATATATATTTCATTTTATTCTTGTTTTATTGTTGGGGATGTTGGGAGATATGAAGTAGCATTAAAAACAAAGAAACTTGGTTCCTCTCCAGAGGATCAAGCTGCAACATCAGTTAAAATTTTCATAAAGTATTTATAGTTGTCATAAATGACCTCTCAAGCTGACATTTATAATAGGGAGAACAAATAAAAAAACCTTCATGCAGCTAAGTGGATATTTCCCTTTCTCTCAATTTAATTAAAAGTTACATTTTGCTTCTGAGAAGTTATGACTGTCACATGTCTTCTGCAGACAAAAGGAAATGGAGGACTGGTTAACGCTTCCTTGAAAAGTGTGACCCAGTGATTGAAGGCTGCCTCCTATCTCTTTTTCAAATCAGGGAGATCTGATTATAAGACTTTATAGAAATACCAAGCCAACACTTCAGGATTAAATTTAAGTTAATACTTTATGAACAAGGCCAAGAGAAGATACAAACATGAATGTCCAAGTTCAACACTCACGAGGCATCTAATCCAATAAGGAAGACAGACTTTTAAACAACCAACGTGAACTGAAAAGCCACATAAAAGCAGGCTTGGAAGAGGGCTATTGATTTGGACGGGTGGCAGAGTTTCAGGCAGACATGACATGTGCACAGTGGGCTGGCGGAGCAGAGCGCTGGGCGAGGCCAACCCACCTGAGCTGCAGCAATGCTCTCCCCGTCCAGCAGGCCCTGCTAGGGACAGGGACGTGGGCTGCGTGACGGACTTGCGGAACAAATGACGAACTGCACACTGGGTAATGCAAAGAAAGATCGAGGGGAGGCCCTGGAAGAGCAGCAGTTCAAGCCCAGGAAAGCTCAAGACTACGCCGATGACAAGGACCACGGCAGGCTTTGGAAGAGACTACAGTGTTCCGGATGTATTTTAACATGAAGACTCGTGAGCTGATCGATTGATTGGAGGGCACATGTGTAGACAAGCTAAGCGGAGGCGCTAGGATTGCGCAGAAGGGAGTGGGCACAGGGCTCAGAAGAGGAACCCACAGGACTGGACGAATGACTTGGGCAGGCGGGTGAGGAAAGGCATGAGTTCAAAATGCCTCTAGAAATGTCTACATGGAGTGACTAGGAGCATGGGAAGCACAAGAAAAGAGGCAAATTGCAAGTTTGGGTAGAAAAAAACTGAGTTTGGCTTTAGGCAAATTAAATTTGCGGTGTTGATTGAAAATCCATATGGAAAAGATTAATATAAGGGAAGTTAGCACTGGGGTTGAGGTGAGCCAGGGTGAACTCAACCTGACCACCTACTGTGTGGCAGCAGCACAGTGGTGGCAGTTACAGGGTGACATCCTGGGTGGGGGATGAGACCCTGAGAAACTCACAAATACCTATGTAGGTGAAAAGCACCACTGGAGAGGATTAAGGTGGGATGATGAGACCGAAGGAACGCTTTCAAAGAAGGAAGCCAAAGGGAGGAAAGTGTAAAAGCTAGTCAAACCTTTAAAGCATTTATTAAAAGCTATTAACACACTTTAAGGACACACAGCATGCTAGGTCTCAAACTTCTCCACACGATCATCTAGCTAAACAGGAAGTCAATGCCTAGGAATGAACTGGCCGTAGTTTTGTCACATTTTGTTTCTTTAAGCCGCCACACTACTCACATTCATCAGACCTACCGATCGGTCGGACTATGAAGTTGGGAAAAGGGTGATGTTGTCATTTACAACAAGAAGCATATACTTGGCCTTTGTCTGGGTTCCTGGCATGACAGCTCCTAAAATCCTCGGTATGCCCTGCATATTGAGAGCCATACAGATGCCCTTGCTATGTCACTGAAGTGACTTTTGGGGAGGTTACAGGCTGGTTGCCTGGGGTGTCAGCCATGATTAGAGGGTTGGAACTGCCTACCCTGATCCCCACCTCCTTGGAGGGGAGACGGGGTGGAGACTGAGTTCAATCACCAACGGCCACCAACTGAGTCCATCATGCCCTAGCCTCCATACAGACCCAGCAGGATGGGGTTTGGAGAGCTTCTTCGTGGATGGACCAGGATGTGTCCACGTGCTGTCTCTCGGGCCTCAGGCTCTGCAGGGACAGAGAGTCCTCTGTTGGGCCTTCACCCCATGTATCTCTTCATCTGGCCATTGTCCATTCATATTCTTTAATATCTTTGTAATATGCACATAAAACTACTTAGTAACTGGGATTCCTGAGTTCTGTGAGCCGCTCTAGCAAATTAATCAAACCCATGGAGGAGTCATGGGAACCTCTGATTTATAGCCAGTTGGTCAGAAGTAGAGGTGACAACCTGGACTTGGGTTTGGCACCTGGAGTGGGGGCGGAGCCCTCACCTTGTGGGACCTGCTGCTTTCTCTGGGTAGACAGCATCAGAAGGCAGATGAACTGTGGGACATCTACTTGGTGTTGGGGAATTGCTTGATGAAGTGGGGGAGAACCCACGGAATCTTCCAAGGTCATCTAAATTTTATGGAGGTAGCTATTTCTAGGGACTTGGGTCTATCTGTAGGCATACTATGAAGAGTCTGGGTACAGAGTAACAGCAGTGGCTGGAGCCGGGGTGTGAGTTCTTAAAGGAAACCCTTGTGGGTGCCAGGGTCATGACGGTCGTATCACTCCTGGTTAAGGCTGCTGTGAGCAAGAGTAAGAAAAAACTCATAGAAAGTAAGACTTATGAATAAGTCCAAGCAAACAAAATCCATAAAATGTCATAGTAAATTCATCCCTGTTTTGCAGATTTTTAAGGCATCGCAATAGAAAAATAAGAGGAACTCAGGGAGCCCTGTTACCTCATTGGCTTTGCTGCTACAGAAAAAGCGTATTGTTTTCTTACACATAAATCAACATCCTACAGTATCAGCCTTCTTAGAGGAGAAATAATCATCTGGGAGGTTTACAATATATAATGTGCCTCAGGGACTTTCACAGATCACATGACTCTGGTAGATTGGATTTATTTTCCTCCTCGATCTCCTGAGGATTCTGCAGAAACAGTGAAACCACAGCGCTCTCTCATAATATGTTATCTAGTCAAGTCCAAAGACACTAGGAACACTCATAAATAACCCCTAAAGGAAGAGCAAGTCCATTTCAATCAATTTAATAATTGAGATTAACCACAAATAGTAAAGAAAAACCACACTTTAAAACAAAATTAATAACTTCAGAAATTAATGTCTGTTCATGTCATGAAAATGAAATTTCAGCACTTGTGATGCTGCTACCTTTTTAAAAGATGACAGATGCTGAGATTTTAAAATCAGCGTACTTAGGGCGCAGGCTGCAGAGGAGGGAGGCTACTGCGTTAACCAAGCCTCCTGCTTAATGCACACAGGGGACAAAACCCGAGCTGGTGCAGAGCACATTCCAGTGAAGAGGAGAAAAAAACCTTCATCAGTTCAACTCCATTTTAGCCCAGGGCGTCTGCCATGTATCAGGCAGCTAAAATTACATGTAAATGTGTAAGCTTTGTTGTTATTTTAGAGAGAATCCAGGTAGCAAAACAAAGCCCAAAATCCTTTCTGCATTTTTAACATGAAGTGCTTTAATCTTCAGTCAAGTGTATACTTTTTTTCTCTTTTAGGATTTTGATGTATTGTCTCCTCTTTTGTGCATGTTTGAAAGTTTCCAAAATAAAAAGCAAAAACAGCAACAAAAAAGAAGAGTAATGATTTCTGTATATATTTCCAACATACTGTTCATACTTTAAAACAACTCTTACCAGTTTCTGCTTCTGAAGCTCTTCCCTAAGTACTCTGTCTTCTGGTAAAACGTCACACAGCAAAAAGTAATTGTCCTGCTCTTCTGTTGAGAGATTAGAAAAATAAATGAGAAACAAATTACCATTGTTTTCCAGGACTTATTTCTTAAAAAAAAAAAAGATCTATTTCTCTCTCTGTCTGTCTTTCTATTTATTAAGATCTCTTTTCCGGAATATAGGTCTCCTTTTGCTTTATTGAAGTTAGATGATATAAACAGCGCAATTTAATTTTAGCTGTCATGGAAGTGAGAGAATTCTAATTTAGGAAAGTGAGATTATTGCTTTGAATGTTGGGGTTGTAGGCAAGATGGTAGCCAAGATGTCTACTTACCAAGCGGGGCTGTGGAATTGATTCTTATCACACTACAAAAATCCGTGATGGGCTGCTCGCTGAACCTTTTCCGCCAGTATAAAATGTACCTGGGAACAAAGAAAGATGATGACGGACTCAATACAGTACTTCCTTTAGAATAATATATTTTATAATAGCATTTAATTATCCCAAAGTAACAAATCAAATGCTGATAAAACACTGCTAGAAAATTTATAAATAGAAAGGCAGAAGAGCATTGCAGAAATATGATTTATTTATTTTGGTTTTCTTTCTTTTATTTTTATTTAGTTATTTTTCAAGTACAGTTTTCTATTTATTTCTCCCATCCCAGCCCACCCCCCCCCATGTACCCCACCTCCCTCCCATTTCCCCCCCCCTTAGTTCTCGTCCCTGTGCCCTTCATACTTGTTCCTCCAAATCCGTCCCCCTTTTTTCCCTTAACTTCCCTTCCTTCTCCCCTCTGGTCACTGACTCCCTGTTCTCTATTTCAGTGTCTTTGTTTTTATTTTGCTTGCTTGTCTGTTTTGTTGTTTAGCTTCCTGTTAAAGGTGAGATCATATGGTATTTGTCTTTCAACCCCTGGCTTATTTCACTCAGCATAATGCTTTCCAGTTCCATCCATGTTGTTGCAAAGGGTAGTAGTTCCTTCTTTCTCTCTGCTGCACAGAATTCCATTGTGTATATGTATCACAATTTTTTGACTCATTCATTTACTGATGGGCACCTAGGTTGCTTCCAGCTCTTGGCTATTGTAAATTGTGCTGCTATGAACATTGTGGTACATAGGTTCTTTGAAATTGATGTTTTGGAGTTCTTAGGATATAATCCTAGCAGTGGAATTGCTGAATCAAAAGGCAGGTCAATTTTTATCGACCAGTTAGGTTTATTCCCAGATTTTTTTTTAAATTTTTTTTGCTATATCGAATGGGATTTTTTCCTTGATTTCTGCTTCTGCTGATTCATTGTTGGTAAACAAAAATGCCTCTGATTTCCGGATATTGACTTTGTAACCCGCTGTTTTGCCAAATTCATTAATTAGTTTGAGCAGTTTTTGGGTAGAGTCTATAGGATTTTCCAGGTACACTATCATGTCATCTGCAAACAGTGACAGTTTTGTTTCCTCCTTTCCTTTTATTTCCTTTTCTTGCCTGATTGCTGTGGCTAAAACTTCCAATACTATATTGAATAGAAGTGGTGAAAGTGGACATCCTTGTCTTGTCCCTGATCTTAGTGGAAAAGCTTTTAGTTTTTGCCCATTGAGTATGATATTGGCTGTAGGTCTCTCATATATGGCCTTTACTATATTGAGGAATGCTCCCTCTATTCCCACTTTGCTAAGTATTTTTATCATAAATGGGTGTTGTACCTTATAAAATATCTGGGAATAAACCTAACTAAGGAGGTAAAAGACCTGTATGCAGAAAACTACACAGCCCTGAAGAAAGAAATCAAGGAAGACACAAACAAATGGAAACATATACCTTGTTCATGAATTGGAAGAATTAACATCATCAAAATGTCCATACTACCCAAAGCAATTTACAGATTCAATCCAATACCTATTAAAGTACCAATGGCATATTTCACAGACATAAAACAAACACTTCAAAAATTTATACGGAACCATAAACGACCCCGAATTGCAGCTGCACTTTTGAGAAAGAAGAACAAAGTAGGAGGGATCACAATACCTGATATCAAACTGTATTACAAGGCCACTGTAACCAAAACAGCCTGATACTGGCATAAAAACAGGCACATAGACCAATGGAACAGAACAGAGAGCCCAGAAATCAACCCAACTCTCTACGGTCAATTAATATTTGACAAAGGGGACAGTAACATAAAATGGAATAAAGATAGCCTCTTCAACAAATGGTATTGGGAGAACTGGACAACTACGTGCAAAAAAATGAAACTTGAGCATCAACTTACACCATACACCAAAATAAATTCAAGGAGGATAAAAGACTTAAATATAAGCCGTGACACCATTAAAGTCCTAGAGGAGAATATTCGCAGGAAAATCTCAGATATTTCATGCAGCAACATTTTTACCGATATGTCCCCTCGAGCAAGGAATATAAAGGAAAGAATAAACAAATGGGATCTCATCAAAATAAAAAGTTTCTGCATGGCTAAAGAAAACAGTATTAAATTAGCAAGACAACCAACTGTATGGGAAAACATATTTGCCAATGATACCTCAGACAAAGGTTTAATCTCCAAAATATACAAAGAACTTACACGACTCCACTCTAAGAAGACAACCAAGCAAATTAAAAAATGGGAAAAGGACTTGAACAGACACTTCTCCAAGGAGGACATACAGAACATCCAGAGACACATGAAGAGATGCTCAATATCGTTAGCTATCAGAGAGATGCAAATTAAAACCACAATGAGATACCACTTTATACCAGTCAGGATGGCTATCATAAGCAAAGCAACAAACAAATGTTGGAGAGAGTGTGGGGAAAAGGGGACCTTAGTTCACTGTTGATGGGATTGCAGACTGGTACAACCATTATGGAAAACAATATGGAATTTTCTCAGAAAAATATGAAGTATTTAATAAAATGAAATCATCCTGTAAAGGCATGGAAATGATTAAACTTTACCACCACCAAATTCAGGAAAGACATTTGGGAAAATTAAAATGAATTATTTTACGTGATAATGAAATTTTTCTGAAATCACATCTAAGTTTATATAAATTTAAAATGTATACATTTTTCAATAAAATGAAAGGTGGTTATCTTATACATTAAAATAACAGAGGTCATAATAATAATGCAATGAAGTCAATGCCTTTCTAAATTCGATTTCTAGATAAGAAGAGAAAAAAGTTGCCAAAGAATTCCATATGTCTGATGTGAAGCAAACTTAGCCTTTGGAAAAGCAAGTTTTACTTATATGCATAACACCCAGACCTGCGTATCTGGTGAATGCGGGAGAGATGACAGGATTCGATAAGCTGTCCATCTCTCCATTTATCCAAGATTTACACTGGCAATTCGAGTTTTTATTTACCAAGCGGTACCTGGAGAATTCGGCCTGCTTCACGGGGAGAAAGAATGGAAAGGCTGACTGTACAGCTGACGGTGTCAGCTGATGGTAGTGGTGCCAACTGCACACCAACAGGAACCCCCAATCTGGGATGCGGCGGAGGCAGAGGCGTTATTCAGTGCAAATAGCTCAATGGTGGAATAGCACAGCTGTGAGGTGGCCCAGTGAGGAGGCCTTGGCGTCAGGGCGGTGGCGTTACAGCTCCCTTCCAACCTGGCGAGACTGCCTGTCTCTGGTGTTGCAGCTCCACGGTGTTCTATAGTAAGTGCTATAGAAAAACATTAAGTACCACGAGAGAGGTCTGACAGAGAGAACCGCGACAGGAGCTGATATAAAATACCAATGGATGACAACATGGAGTGCAGAGAAGGTAAGGGAATGAGGGAAAGAGTAACGCGCACGTGGAGCCCCCTGGTTAAATTCCTTCTCCTGTCCGACCGCACCCTGACCTGCACAGGTAAGTGGGGGAGGCCTCGTCCCTTACAGAGCAGGCAGAGGCTGCACCTCACAGGTCTGCAGGGAGCTAGCTGCAGCGCCCACTTGGCCTTGAAGCACAGCCCTCACAAATGCCGTGCGTGGCCCCAGCTTCCTCTTGGGTGCAGCAGAGGCTGAAGGCCAGCGCGTCACCGACCAGTTGAAGTACACAAAAAAGAGGGAAGGTGCCTACGAAGGGCCACAGCGCTGTTCCCTAGGCCACTCTGGGCCAGCACGCTCCTCCCTTCCATTCCCCACCCCCAACAGGAAGAGAGAGAGAAGGGAGAGAAGGGAGAGAAGGCGAGAGAAGCCTTCAGAGACTGAAACAGATTCCAGCCGCTGTTCTCATCCTCTGTGCAGGCTTCCCATTGCAGGGCGGTGACAGGGGTGAAGGAACGAAGGACACCCTCGGTGAGCGATGCCAGGAGGGGGAGATGGATTACTCTTCCGGACTGAGACACACGGGTATCTGTTGTCAGGAGTCCTCGGATCTGTACGGCAGAATCAGGTACCGTGGCAGTGGACTTAAACACAGGAGGGCCTGTCCTGAGTGCGGGTCTGCTGAGGGCCATCTGGGTGACACGGCCACACAAAACGTAGGACAGCGGTCAGCCCCTTATAGTGTTAGTGCCACTGTGGTCTGCAGGGTGTTCAAAGGCTGTAATGAGTCCTTGACCTGCAGGCTGCCTACCTCTGACCGACGTTCACCGGCTTAGTGACACGTGTGAGAAACTACACAAACAAGAGCCAGGTTAGAGCCGGTACACGAGACCAGACTTCTCCTTTGAATCGGCTTTGAGTTATTTCGTAATGAAGAGTCAATGCAACGAGAGGCTCTTGTGTGCGCAGATCTCGGGCTAGAGAAAGTCCTGCTTCTCCAGTTCAGGCTCTGCTCGGCCCTCAGAACCAGTGTTTCAACTGCTGGCTCCACCGCCCTGCCGGCCGCAGTGGACAGGGAAGCAGGGACTCTGCACTGTGAGTTATGAACCTGAATTTGCAGTTTTTAAGTCTTTCTGAAACTTAGTTTATTCATTTACAAGATAAATTATTGATAATTAAATAAGATAACAACATAGTAGTGTCCAACATCCTGGGTTAGTGATAGTTTTTATTAAAAGAAAAGGGAACATTGACTATAGTAAAGAAAAAGCTTATTCTAGAAAATACTGGCAACTAAAACAATGATAACGTTTCATCGCACATTTAATGAGCAAGTTAAAACAGTGGGAGTAATAGTAGCAGAGGGCAGACATGGGCAACTGAGGTGGCGGAAGAGCAGAGTAAAGATGATGGTGATGATAAGGATGACAGTTACTGGCAGTCCTGATTGAGGGCTCTCCTGCCCTCAGTTGCACAGTGGGAATGTCAGAGCTGGGATCTGAACTTGGCCTCTCCAGCTTCAAATGCAGACCCAAGCCACTGATATCACAGTACCTGCATGGCCATGGGAGGACCAACCTATACCAGGACTACAGCAAAGACGAGAGCCCCCAGACTTAGAGTTCCAATGGATACGTGTTTTTTTTTCTCTTAAAGACCAAGGAGAATGCATTTCACAAGACAAAACAGAAAGGAAGATCTGAAGGAAGAAGGCATTTTTTTCCTTTTCTAAACAGCATGCGGCCTAATAGGAGCTCTTGGTCTGACTGCCCCCGACCTCCTGCTTCTACAGTGAAGGGTGATGCAAGCTGTCTGGGGCTGTGGATTTGGAACTTGTCTAGGCAAGAGATGGCAAGAAGTGAGAGCCCTACAGAGGGAATGGTGTCCTGATCCCAACGGTCCACGGGGCTTAGTCTCCAAGGACTCCAAGCTCCCAGGGTGCTGAACAGACAGCGCCCATCACACGCTCACTCCACGTCCAAGTTTACTTCTGGGTGGCAGGCACCGGGAAGCGATTGCTAGCATCGCTGACATGAAATGCTGGGGAGATGCTGTCTGCCAGAACGCGCCTGCCTCCTCAGGGGGTTTGGGAGGACCTCCTGTGGGAGGAAGGGAGAGGAGGACACTGAAGTCTGGCAGCCTTCCCACTGGCTCAGCCGTCTTGCTGCTCCAGGAGCAGGGAGCCACGGGTTCTGGGCGTGGCAGCTTACAGGTCCTGCACAGCGCTGTCATTTGAATGTTTCTGTCCTGGCCAAAGGTTGGGTGACAACAACATCAGGGGGAAAAATCACGTTGCAAAGCAAACTATAACCATCAATTCCCACACAACCGAAATGTATGAAACACTGTAGTTACTACACAACTAGATCTGCACTGCAATGTGCATTTGACCTAAGTCTAAATATAACATGCATCCTAGTTAAACACCTATCAGTACTTTTTAAGTTTGTAATTCGAATGAAAAGGTGTCCATATATGCATTTCCCTGTGGCTGGTAGAAGCATTCAGATAAATCGGATTCAACTGAAGGGCGGCATAACGGTGTTAAGAGCTTCAACACATGCTTCCTGTGGCGTGTTCCCCACCCACCGAAACACACTTCTTCACATTACGGGATCATGCAGTACATCCCTTCTGCATTTCTTTCTACGTATCCAGCTTCTTTAAAATTGCAGTCGCAGCCACTCAATATATAAAGGCAGGCAAGAGATACTGTCGTATGAACTTTTTATTTGGATGAGTTATGAAAGCATTTCATACTTTATTAAAAAGCTATAAAAGTAATTACTAGGTCATCTGCAAATACTTTTTATGTTATGGAAGAACCTCAATCATGTTTCACAAAACTATCTTACAAAAAATTTTTTTGTAATAATATCCTGCCTGCCCAGCCCCCCACCAGTGCGTTCACTGACAGGGGCGTGGGGATTTGAGATATGTCATTAATTAAGTGGCACCGAGCAAAAGGAAGTTAATACAGAAGAGCCAAGAATCAAGGGGTTAATGTTTATCTGCTGAGAAAATGTTATCTACTTAGTAAAGCTAGCAAACAGCTCAGTGTAAATAACTGTGTTAAATGGCTCAAAGGAAGGAATTTTTATTTTTGTTTTGTTTTATTCCCTTTACCTGAGTACTGTTATTTTGTTCCAATAAATGAAATGTCCAATATATTGAACATGAATGCTTACAGCTTATTAGTTATAAAGCACATGGTAAGTCCACCTCTTATCTATTATTTATCATTTATCATTTTTATTACTTACTCTGCTCTGAAGCAACAACTGCTGAGAAGCTGTGTGTACAAGTTTGTATACATACAAACTACATGTATGTGCATATATATGAATTATTCAACTTGTAAAGAAGTTCTGAGTAAATTAACTTGTGCTGATGGAACCCTTCACTCTTCCCTCGACCCCCACCTCCCCTGTTAACTGCTGTTCCAAGGTCAGGAAATGGCAGGTAGCAGTGAAAAACTCTGAAATAACTCCGACCACGCAGTGCATGCGTGTGTTGTTTTGGAGACACAGTCTAGGTTTCCCTGAACAGCGGGAGGGTGTTACCTGGAGGAGACTAGATACATTAAAAGGTATTTAAAAGGAACAGAGTTTATTCACGGAGTCCTGCTCGATTTGAATTAATCACACATCTACTTCCTGAGAGTAAAAACATTACTTAGGGGGACAGCTGACAAGGAGAATTTAGGTTTCCAAATTTAAAGTACCTGTTAACTGCACCTTATTTATAGAACACATCAGAAATGTGTCTTTCTTTTTGATTCAAGTGCCCACTTTCTTACACAGCTGCCTTTCCGGGGTGATGGACCCCCACACTTCATACTGCCTCTGAAGCCCCGAGCCCTGGTAAATATGGAGTTTTCTGCCCCCTGAGGAATGAGACCGACACAGTAACACGGTGGGTGCTGTCCACACCCTCCTCTTTGAGACGGTCAACAGTCTCTGAGGGCTGGCGTCACCCCATTTTACAGATGCGGGGACCTGCTCGCAGCGCTCGGGAGCGTGCTGGAGTCACAGGTCTGCTCGGACCTCAGCCTGCCCGAGGCACACAGCCTGTGGCTCTGGGAGGCCTGCTGCGGGGAAGCAGGGGCTTACTAGAAAAGGTGCGGTCTTGGGGACACTGAGTGTGGATGCGGGGCATGACAGTGTCTGGGCTACTCTGTTTTGTAGGGAAATAAGGACAGGACACCTCAAAATGGAACCTTGTCAGCTCTATCAATACGTGTGCTTTCAGTAACCATGTAAGCCAGTGAGCAGACCACAACTCTGTTTCTAAGGACAATGCTTGTCCAGTTCCAGCTCACACAGGCTCGCACGCAGCACCCACTGCAGCCACCGAGCAGCAGGTGCTCTCTGGGCCGGCCCTTCCCGGAACTGCGGGCCGGGGACAGAGAAACACCGGCCCTCGCTACCCGTGTGTGCGAGTGGCTTGCTGTGAGTCGGGGCTGGCAGCTGCAGTCGGGCGCACTCTGGGCCCCGGGGGTACAGGCCAGGTTCCCACGACACACGCGCCCGGTGTCGGTGAATCCCGAACCAGTCCCCTCCGCCTGCTCGCCTTCCATCGGCTTGCACTCTCAGGCCTCCTGGTCTGTTGGGTGGCCTGGTTTCTTCTCTGGTTTCCAACTGCCTCACATCACTTAAGTGGGAGATCTTTGGAAAACACCCTTCTGCATTGAAAGGTGCCTAGGCTCCGGGTTGCCAAACCCTTGGTGGCCTTTTACCATGTCTACTCTGGACTTTTCTGGAAAGACTTGCTCAGCTAGAGAATGTCTATGGCCTCACACACACACACACACACACACACACACACACGTATGTAAAAATCAGTCTGATAGAGATCAACAATGTCAACAGTCTTGGGACTGTGGCAGAGGGAATATTACCCACTCTTTGGAGAGCTGGTCTGTTTCCAGAATTTGTAGGACTGGCAATAGCATGTGACATTCTCAAACACGACTTACACACTCAAGAAGAAAGAGGAGTGCAAAGATTTTTTTTTGAAGTCTAGGGAGAAACTTAGAAAACAACTCTCATAATTGTAGAGGAATAATGTTATGTATACGTCTTGCCTTTCCTCCCAGGAATGATACACTTAATTCCTTTATTAACAAAAACAGTCTTTACCTTGGGAAGTCGGCAACCAATTTGACATCCGCTATGACCATCTTATGCTCAATAACCATGTGCTTCAGAAGCTGGTCTTGCTCCGCTGCAGGAAAGTGCTCCTCGCAGAAAGCACAAGGCACAGACGGAGGCTCCCCTAGCGTGGGGGAGCCACCTGGGTGCTCCGGCAGGGACAGTGGCTCCAGGATGCAATCCTTCCTGTCTGGGAGGGACAAGAAGGAGAAGACAGAAAAGCTGAAGCCAACTCTGTACGAGGATATTCTTTCAACCCCTGCATTAAAAGGACCCTAGAGACATCACATATCTTCAAAAACAATGCACAGTGCCAGGCAGCAGGATACAGTAGGACCATTTGAAACAGCTACTGCGACCCAGAGGCCAGGAGTTGGCAAACCAGCTCACACTCCCTATTTTCAGGTGTGAGGGAGGAATTGCTGCGAGTGTTGGGCGGCTGTTTGAACCTTCGTGGACTCTGGCCAGCGGCAACAACTTGGGAGACACCCAGAGGGGGGCCCCAGCACGCCGGGTTAAGGCTCTGAGGCCCCCCTGCGACCTCTGGCTGAGAGTCACCACTCAGTGAGAAGTAAAGGGCACGCGCTGAGGCCACGGCAGTCTTTCCAGCTGTCCCCTGTTGCACCTGCAAATCTTTCCTGTTTCTGATTACTTGTCATGTGTGAAGAAGAAGACAGCTTTCACATTAAGTTGACATGGCATTAGCTGGCTGGGTGGCCCAGTTGGCAATTTTCAATGTTGATTTATATCTACCATTTGCTTGTTGTGCAATTATGTATCATAATCCAGGTTCTTGTGAAGAGAGATGAATGCTCAATCACTAGACATACGAGGTCTGTCCAGAAGGTATCCAGTCATGAACAATGAAAAATAGAGACATCTATTGAAGACACAAGATACAAAAAACATTGTATACAGGACAGTGATGTCTCATTTCCCTTCGAAGTAGGCGCTTTGGGACCTCACACAGTTCTCTCAATCACCATCAGCTGCCCCGCTGTATTTCCCCAAAGCTTGTCAACAGTCTGAAATCTCTTCCCTTTCCAAGGCGATTTTAGTTTTGGGAAAAGAGAGAAGTCACAGGGCACCAAATCTGGGCTGTAAGGGAGCTGAGTCACCTGGGTGATTTGATGTTTCCCCCCCAAATTCTACACAAGATGTCATGCATGAGCACACATGTTGTCACGATGAAGCCACCAATTCCCCAAAGCTGAGACCTTCTGAATCATCTGAATAGTTTCTGTGGAGGAATGTTCGAGCTTAACACAAAATTTGATGCAGATTCCTTGCTCTGCTCGCTCAGTCATTTTGAATGTGACAACCACACAGCACACATGCTTACTCAGTGGCATCCTATCACCCTCACTGACCAGTACAGTGAAGTCGTCATTGTTCACGCATGCGCATTCCAGTCCACTCTCCTCGGCTGCCAGGTTACATCAATGTTGTGCAAACCATTCTCGTTATATTCACAATGGCTGGACTTTTCCCGGGCAGACCTCATACATGCTAAACCTTTTTTCTGTCTGTACTTTTCCTTTCCCTAACATCACTAACAGCATCTTTCAGCGCTGAAATGAGTGCAATACACAGCTCTGAATTCAGGGCCCTGAACTACAATCAGTTGTGCCAGGAGCCCTGTGCAGTCAGTCACCTGGGGGAGGCCAGTCAGCGGGTGCGGACTACTGAGGGGTTAGTCACCAGGCCACAGGGTGAGGCATGTGGCATGTGAGGAAGGGGAGAGAGCCTTCTTCAGAAACAACAGCTATTCTACAGGCAAACGTCTTTGTCTGTAGGTTCCTATGAAATCTACTGTTAAATCTGATTGCTTATTTTATCATATTGTGCCTTATTTCTGAAGGGCTGTGTAGCAGAACACCTCCCTGAACCAGACACTGACTCATGCGGATCACGGATGAGGAGCCAGATGAGCAACGCGCGTGAGAGGGCAGCGGCATTCACGCGCACACTCCCTGAAGTCCGCCGAGTGCGTGCCGGGTGCGGGCCTGTCCTGCTCGGCACTGTCCGCCCTGATCCAGGCCAGTGGGCTGCGGTGCTCACGTTGTCTGAAGGCACACATGAGTTCCACCAACACAGACGCAAAGAAGGTGCAGCGTTTGTGGGAACAGGGGTCCCCTGTTGGTGCTGGAGAGGGCAGGTGACACCCTCTGACACACTGCTCATGGTGATCTGTGACACGGAAGTATGCTGAAGCAAACTGCTTGCCTCATTCCACAAAATAACTTACTTCCAGAAGAGGTAAAAACAGGGTATGCATAACAACAGGGAGAATATTTAAAACGTACAAGTGCTTTGGCACTATTAATAAAATGGATATGTTATCAATTATTGATTAAAGTAGGCACTGAAATCAAGGAATTCTGGAATTCTATAGTTCTTTGGTTGTAGGTTAAATTCTGCAGGAACTTAAACACACACGTGAAAAAATAGGATGGAGGAAAAAAGACAAGCAATATACTCAGGAAATTCCGTAACAATATTTCACATTCGCTAGGACGACAGCGGCCAGTGCCACGTCCTCTTCCAACCACGTTGTCTGACAAGGTCCGGGCATGGAGGACTCGAGTTCAAGGAAATCGTCTCCCCGGAGGAGAATGTGGCATCCAAAATGGGTTATCAAGTGGCTGTTTTATTTTAATTATTTTACTCTTGCTACTGAATATAGACATTGAACTGTACTTACTTATTCCTGCGAAAATCACCCAAGAGGAGGGAACAGTTCAGGGGAAAACATTAGTATTCCCCACAAAACTGCCTGAAAGGATGGAAAAATCTCCACAGAGTCCCCTCTCCCTTATACAGCGGGGTATGACAGCCAGGGTAATATAATTGTTAACCATAAGGGAAAACATGTCAAGTTGTATAAATTACCCTGGTTTGAGCAACTTGAAGTGATCAGGACCACCATGGTGTACCAGAAATAAGAAAAACAAGTTAGATTTCTTAAATTAACAGTTAAGATCAGTTAATAAAGAACCAGGCTATTGTTACAAACACAGGTTGTGCTGCCAACAGTTGAGGAATTGGAAGAACAGATTAGAAAGACTTTCCCATGACTGTTCCTTACCCACAGGTACAAAGGGTCTTCCAAGAAGACAAGTAAAAACTATATAGACCCCTACCCACAGCCCAGGGATACGGTTGAGATGCATCTGCGAGGCAGAGGCAACTGTGGCAGGATTTCCTGTCTATCTTTCCTTACATGTTTGTTTGGGTGATCAAAAGGTGGTGGGATTGTTAGACACTTGTATTTCAGGTTCATTGATTTGCATAATTCCAGTGAAGTTGTACAAAATAATTTCTTGACCAGAGAACAAAGTCCCTGTATATCTAAAAGTTGTTGGAGTAACAGCCCCTCCTTTACCTTGAATAGGAATATATATCAATTAGACAGGCAAAGAAATAACAAAAGCTGGCTAGTTATTACAAACTAAACATGTAGAAACAGTCACTAAAGAGTCAGAGTTTATAGTACACAGAGAAACATTGTAGACAGAAAAGGATAGATAGCTCAGTTAGACATCACAAAGGCCTTATAATAAATTTCCTATTACCTCTACTCAATCTAGCGTATCCTTTTGCCCCATGACAAATTCTGAGAAACTTTAATATACAATAAGACATTCAAATTCTGTACATACAGCTATTTCTAATTGTCTGATTTATGGCTCTCCTGGTCAAAATAATATTTGTGTATTACAACTGAATCCATGGGAACTTTCGTATTTTTCCTGGTTACCTTTGTATTGATTTCTTTTTTTTGCTTGACTGATCATGCTATGCTGCAAATGTTAATCACTACCTAAAATGAAAATATAAAAACCTGCTTGTACTTGCAATAAACGGAACAGAGCTTCACTGTGCTTTGAGGCGTGTTGTCGTCTGTTACCCATCGCCAACGCCTCACTCACCTTTGGGAATCCCTTGGACCCTGCTGCGGCTGGTCCGCGGCAGGGCAGCTACGTCCTAATGTTCTGAGTGAAGGTGATGTTAATAAACCTGCCTTCTAGGGGTTAACGAGCAGTGTATTATCTAGCCTTTCCCTTACATTGGACTGAGATATCTGCAAATTAATTTTGCTCGCCTGAAGAAAACAATGTATTAACAGGCACCATTAATATAAGAACTCACACTACTAGGTTTTTGCTATTTGTAAGTTGTCAGCAAAATGCTTTAGGAGACTTTCTCACTTAATTCTTACTGCCTTATTTGGTGAGTACTAATATAACCCCCAACTTCTGGATGAGAGAACTGAGAATTAGAAGAGTTAAATAATTTTCCAAACTAACAGTGCTAGTAAGTGGCCCAAACACACTAAGTGGAGCTTGTTTGCACATGCTCCCTGATTTTGCACCCCCCCCCCCCCCCCATCCTGGGTCCTCTTGTGAGTCTGACTTGGTCCATCTCTCCTGGCCCAACAATAGCAGACATCTGGGTTGTAATGAACTACTCACACTGTAGCCACCACTAGGGGCATCTGTGAGCTGCTTGAGGTCAGGACCGAGTTGCATTTATTTCATCTCTGACATAGGGACATGAGAGAAAGAATGACAACCCAGAGGTGCTTATCACTGGAATTATACCTTTAACTCGGTTTCCAGGAAAGTCCTACTGCAGGGGTCACCAGAGGCTGGCTGTTGTTAGGAGAATTTCCTCTGCCCAGCACTGAGGATCCAACTGTAAGTCTGTCCAGATGGTTAGTGCTGTGGGCCTTGGTGTAACAGCCTCTCTGACCCCTGGAATTTGTGTAATGTACAAATTACAGGGTTCTAAGGAAACAGTAAGTATTATTGAGTGTAACAAAAGTTTGTTACATTTAATTAGGGATTTAATTTTTTTTTTGTTTTAACTTTTCGTGTTCTTCTTCAGTAACCAAAACCCAATGTTATTTGGAACAGAGAGTAAGTCATACCACTCCACAGAGATTGCGTCTGTGGGGTAGAGCTGAATCCTAAACATGTACTTTACTTCAGAGCAGTGGTTTCCAAATCTGTTGGAATTCCATCGTCTGGAGCCCTTTTTAGAAATCCTGATTTCCAGCCCTGACTGGAGGGGGAGGAGATGCAAGACTGACACGGAGCCCCTGGACTGTGAAGACTGCGGGCAATGAGATCATGTGGGGACTGTAGGACATCCTATGCAGGAGCCTGTGCATATCTTGAACTTGCA